GCGAAAGGAAGATCTACTAGATATCAATTAAATTATAAATATATCAATTCATGTAAATATGACTTAAAAATTTCATTTTTTTTTCTGAAAAGGTGGTGTCTATTTACTTGTGACCACGCTGTGTACTTACATGTATTAAATGACCCTCTAATGTAAAGTTATTAAATATTTTCCCCTTGTCTTTTAATTATACTAAAATATCTAGCAATAATATTTTAAATATTTGTTTATTTATTAATATAATTTATTCTCAATTTTTATATGCAAAAACTTGCTAATTAATGTCTTTCAAGTACTACTCCATTCATGTATGTATTCATTTCTTCAATATTAATAGCCCCCCAGTGGCACAGTGGTATGTCTGCGAGCTTAGAATGCCAGAAACCGGGTTTTGATACCCGTGGTGGGCAAAGCATGGATAACCCATTGTATAGTTTTGTGCTTACCTACAAACAAACACACTTAATATTTTTACAAGTAAAAATCATATATATATATATATATGGTATCCAGAATTTGGTATCATATATATATATATATAATATTTTACAAGATTTACAAATAAATTACTTATCACTAATGCCATGAGTAAATAACAATTTTAACTAAAAACCTTAAATCCCTGTTACGAGCTATAATTGTAGTATTATCTGTACATAAAAGTAGCTTTCTAGTAAATAAAAGAACTGTTATGTCATTAACGTATAATAAAATAACAGTGTTCCAACAGAACTCTTGAGGAACAACTCTCGTATTTATTAATTCATTATAATTTTACCAGTATTAACTATTGAGGTTTGCTTTTTAAAAAACTCTCCAACCAATTATACATCCTACCTCTTATTTCTATATTGTATACATTTTCTAATAATAACGTTTGATTTACAAGATGAAATGCTTTATATAAAGCCATAACACAATTGTGAGAAATTCATCTTTCTCCACATTATCAATAATAATTAACATAAAACATGAATAACTTATTGAGTAGATTCGCCCTTACAAAATCCTTATTAATATTTAGACAGCAAGTCAAATCTATTAAAATCTTAGTCTAGTGCTAATTACATTTTTTAATTTTTGAGAAATACTCAATATCCTTACGGTCTGTGATTACTAATTTGGCTTTTCTAATCCTTTTTATATATTGGTGTTATTTTTGCTTGTTTTAAAGACTATGGATGAAGTAGTATTCTGTAATTGTTTTGCTGTATCAGTTATTTCACTTTTAGTTATTGGTTTCTGAAATAAACTTGTCAGATTAGTTTTGGGGTTACCAATTATCAAACCTGTACTTATCACACTTGTGACTGATTTATTTCATTAACTATATTATATTAACAAAAAAATTAAATATATACACTTTATTTTTTAACATTATCAGCAAATATGGCATTACTAGCAAGTTTTATTTATGATTTATTTAATAATAAGTTATTAACATAGTTTAATTTACGTTTTATATCTCTCTGTAGAAGTAAAATACCACCATAAAAATTTCGTGATATTTATACACAATGTTACGACTGCAGAAGTCACGTGACGCTGGTAACACGTGATGAGTTTCTAGAAGGATCATGAAGGCTCGAGTGTTTGCCAGACACCCTCTATTTTTGTATATATAAACCCGGGAAATAAAGCGGAAAGAGAAGTGACGGCATATGATAATTGCAGGAAGAGAGATAGAGACAGATAATTGAGTCAAGTGAACGGTAGTGACTGCAAGTAAATTGTGTGAATCGTTGTGAATTATAGCGTGTGTGTGTTTAAGTTAAAGTGACTGTGTAAATTAAGTGTATTACAAAGTTTGTAACGAGAAAGAACAAACTAGTTTTAATTAAGAAAGGACTTGTATCGCTGAAGTTTCTAGGAAAGAATTTTTATGGGAAATTATCAAACGAGCAGATAGTAACAACTTGGTGTCAGAAGTGGGATTGACCGTCACACTATAACATCCCCACGGATAACCCGCAGATTGTGAGTCAAGGGCCCTAACCACCTGGCTATGTCTGACCTGAAGGGACAACTACTGAAAATACTTGTACAGTTATCAGCAGATGACAGGCACAACTATAGAGCACTGGTAGCTGCTCTAGATCTAGGGTATGGAACTCAAAATCAGTCTGAAGTCTACAGGGCTAGGTTTAGGACGAGAGTCCGTGCTAAAGGGAAGAGCTGGCACTTGGAAAGTATGGCACACAAGGCCTACACAACTGCACCACCCGATGTCCTCAAGCTGTTGCTGAAGGATCAGTTTGTAGATGCATTGGACAGTCCATAACTGAAGATGCAAGTAAAGCAAGCACACCCCTCTACTGTGCAGGATGCAATGGCTACAGCTCTTGAATTCGGATCCTACGTTAAGTCCAGCACAGAGGTACCAAGATTGGTACAGTCATCAGGATTCAAGGCCAGAAAAGGCCAGCTTTCAGAGAAGTTTGAGAGACTTTGCTGGCACTGTAACAAACTGGGGCACAAGAGAGCTCAATGCTGGAAAGATGCCATGGCGGGAAAGGCTGCTACCCAGAAAGGTTGTTGGAACTGTGGAGAGCAAGGACATATGAGGAACCAATGTAAGAACACTACTACTAGTAAGTCAGCCTCGGGGAAACCAGTAGTGGTTGGTGCTGAG